CCTTCACTGATCTTCTAAATTTCAATTACCAAGACTTTAATATGTTTAAATTTCAATAAACTTTGAATAAACTATTAGATTAAGCTCAAAATTGCAATATAGATTATAAAAAATAATTAACACTTAATTACAAAATTTTACTTATAGATCATCTATCAATTTTACACAATTATCCAAAGTACAAATTCTTTGAATTTTTCAAAATTAAAAGTCTCTCAAAAATAACCTTAACTTTGTAAAGCCTTTACAAAGTCATTATGCCCTTAAATACCTTAAAACTAACTTTCAAAGAATATTTCTTTTATCTACTTTCAAATCCCACTCTTTAATCAACCAAAGAACCCTGCAATTATTATAGGTACATAGTTTTGAGTCTTGGGATTTGATTTTGATCGTGGTTCATAACCTGTCCTTTTTGGATATCAATTTTTAGTAATTTGAAGTAATTTTTGCTTTAATCTATTATCAATTCTTTCTTTAATATGCCCATGTCAATTTCTTATCTTATTTACTTGAATTTGATTCATTTATGCTTCTACAAAGTAAATAGAAAACTTTTCTATAAAAAAGCAATATTAAGATTAAATATTTTACTACCTTATTAATAATTATCCTTGTTTTTTTAATATATCTTTCTACTAAGCTCTTTTATAATAACATCCATATTTTTTTTTACCATATAGTTGTGTTATCACACAACAAAATAGTTATAGGTTCAACTTATTTTTACTGCTTTTTCCAAAAACTTTAGGAAAACAATTGCTAAAAACATGCTCTCATAAGAGGTTTTTTAAGGTACTCCATATCTTATTGATATCACCATCTTGTTCACAAATTGTGATAGGAAAGTTCATCATTTGGTTGCAAATGAATATATAAGTAGCATAAGAAATGTCTCTTCTAATTATTAGCAGTTAAAGACAGTGTTGGTATGTAGTGGTGCTCTATTAGTAAAAAAAGAGACCACAAAGTTTCATGATTGACTATTCGAATTAAGGCCATATATTATTAGTGTCAAAGCACAAAGAATATAGATTTGTATTTGTTTGTATTGCAATTGTTTTGTCTTTAGCTTTGAAAATCTTAAAGGTCATAGAAGTAAACCTATTTACATTCAATTGGGAGATAATCATCTAATCTTTTGAAAACCTTACAAATTTAATGTATAAAAGAAATCAAGCATCCAAATTTATTGTCATGAATTATTGGTTGCAAGATTGATTAAATTTTTTAATAGCAAGTAGCTTATATTGTAGTCATTCCTTCTAAAAACAATATTTTTGGCAATTAGACGTAAAATCAAATATGTGGAGATTATTGTCTAGTTAATTATAAGATCAAGTCAAATTGGTACTAAATGTTGGCACTATTGAAGTTGTTGATTCACGAGTACAACACAAAGAAGACTTGCCTACAATTGCATAGTGATATTCTGTCATTCCTAAAGCGTAGTGCAGTAGAGGCATGATATTGTGAAGGTATAGGTCTATAGAACTAAACACACCCAAATTAGCCTCTAGGTGGTCAAACTTCTTCTACTACTCAAGTGACGACTTGAGCTTGTAAGGTTGACAAAACACTCCAAAAGCAAGCCCCCTCTATCTTAGTATTCAAAGTTAAAAAGAAATGTGGCAAAATCTATGTGGTCAATAGTGTGGGCCCCAAATGATGACTAAATAAGGAATGTTGGTGATACCTTAATGAGGATACATTTGCTATTATCACAAATTTGAGAAGAATATTTCCTATTATGACAAATCTAAGGGATATATTTACTATTATCAAGAATATATGGATATTCTTAATATTTCAGCATATTTGAGGGGTATGTATGATATTTTTCCATGGAAATATGTTATGTCATGTCAAGATAGATACTCCACCTATGTCATCCAAAACTCTCAATCACCCAAAACTCTCAATCACTGCATACTCTCATTTAAAATTGGATCATTGTTTTGTGAATAAGCCAATAAGCAGATTTTGCCAAAATGCTCTTATTGTACTACCTCCCCCAGCACATTCCACACATGTCAACATCACAAAACGCTAAACAAAACTCTAACCAAAACCCTTAACTCCAAAATCAGATTTCTCCTACTCCTGCTTGCGACGATTCACATGTGGCCCCACATTTTGTGTTACACGATTTTAATACTGCTATTCTGTTGCCGCAAAAATCACAACCACTGTAAACTCTGATGCAGAAGAAAACCCTAAATCTCAGCGCGGCCGCTCCCCATGTCCGACCTCGGCGTTCACCACAATCCACATTCAATGCATTAGTTTTGCATCATTCACGCACTGTTCACATCATATTTTGCTGCCTCGTTGTAAAGATCATTCGGGAAAGTACCCACAAACCAAAATGGGTTAAAAGCTCCATGATTCCTCGAACTTCAGTCAATCGTAGAGACTTATAAACCTCCGATGGATTGTACTAGAATAATGACTTCTGCTCGGCGTGTAAGTTTGTGGAGAAGGACAAGGATAAGAAGAATACTGGACGAACTTATGTTTGACGATATCGAGCATTGGTTTTCTTTTTCCTTTTCTCTTTTTTGTGGAGTTTCGATACTAGATGATTTCCTACTGCTTTAGCTGCAAAGCTGCATGGGGTTGTACGAGCATGCAACTCTTTCAGTCCCGGCAGCCTCCTCCACCACCACCAAATTTCATTCCATTCGAATCGTTTGATCAAGTCCGGAATCCCAATGCCAAACTTGCTGATCAAGATCATCTGTGGAACCCTGAAAGAATACGAATCCATGCAGGTCATTCCAGGCTCAATAGAGGTGGTGCGGAAGTCGTCTTACCAATTTTTGCATGAATCATTCCCCCATTTCCTCGAACGCATGCAAGATAACATTCCTATTACCATTTTCCATCCCTTCGAACAAGTGAATCTTTCCATCTCTTGTCTTCCCCCAGCAGATTTTTTGTAGATAGGCGCGCATCCGCCATGACTTGGAAAGTCGCGTTAGCACGTGCCCCCGTATCTGATCGGAATTTCTTCGAGCATCCTTAGCTGTTGCTGCAGCGATGTATAGCCGCGAAGCTGTGGTTTATAATTGGAACCTGGGTTCGCGCAAATCGGTTGCGAATTACCCAAGCTTGATTCACGGTGAGTTACATTGACAATCCTAATCTCTGTGCATCCTCATGATAAGCAGGAACTTGGAATGTTGAGAAGCACCTTCGACGATTCGAAACTTCATGAACAGGAATCCAGGTTTCAGGTTGTGCAGAATCCTCAGCTGTTTGGGTTGCCGCAGCTCAACTCTCTTGTTTATGCTTTATTTAGCAGCACAAGTTCTGTGAGCAAATGGGTCAGCTGGCTGTCTCCGGCAACTTTATCCAACCAGTCGACAATTCTAATCATTCCCAGCCTTCTGTTCGAGCGGAAAGACGTTCATAAATATCAAGGTGAAATATCAGATTGATCCTTTTCTAACTGAATAAAATAAGAATAAAATGCATATGAGTTCACCTTTTGTGACAATCCTAACCATCGAAACTTGAGGAGTGTTATGAAATCAGCATCACAACAATGTCCAATCCCTACAACAGGGATGATTCGTATAACTCCAAAACAAATAGAAACATCCACTATCCAGCACAGATTTACTGAAAAATACTTCACACCCAAATAGCGTGGCTAAACTAGTCATAAACGAATTCACAACTCTTTAACAACAGCAGATCAAGAAGTTAACTTTTGAGACAAGAAGTTCACAATAATCTTTACATAATCCCGCACAACTACAGCTAATAACAACAAAAGTTGGACCACCATACTAATTTAAGCAGAATTGTTTCACTACTCTGCTCTTTTTTGATTTCCCAAGACAGAAAATATCACGCTAAAACTCAACTACCCACACTTCTTCTTCATCTTCTTCTTTTTAGATCTGCGCCTCTGGATGTCAAAAGCCTTCTGAGATTTGCCACGGAAGCTGGACATAGTGCTTCCCCGGGATGCTCCGGCGGAGTGTGAACTGATTCATGAAGGGAGACGAGTGACCACGACCAAGCACCACAACTCCCCTTCGAAGACAACAAAAAGATCATATGAGTGGGCCCCACATGTTTCGTACGATAGTCTTCAGTGACATTTCATCCTTGTTGCTTTCGGAGGGTCATGCAAAGCGGTAGCTTTGCTCTTTAATAGGCTCGTGCTCATCTCGAATTTTCCTACGTCGATCCCACTGAGAGAATCCATTTATTTCATTCGTGGAAGTTTGTTCTCGAATGTCGAGCTATCTCAATTTCCGGTCAACAGTGAAAGGGTTTGTAATTTATTTTTAAAAAAATTCACTGCGTTTGAAGGAAATAAATGTATATTAATGTGTATTTTTGAAGTGAGATTGTGAAACATGTGGACGAGTCAGAATATTGCACATGTGAGTTGAGAAAGGACCCATACCTGTCGATTGGTTAAATAACAATGCCAGTGTAATATAGGAAAGCATCTTGACGAATGGAAGATATCATTGAGAAAGAACAATGATGATCATGCATTTTCTTTTCATTCTTGCTCTCCGAGATTGCTCAACGTTGATGTAAACTGCGCTTGTATAAAGCCATTGGGTGCGGACCAAGAAGAGATATGTTTTGCTTTCTTGCACAATAATTTTCTGGAACTGTAAGACGACGTCCGTCCTTGACTCATCCGACGAAGTGCCACGCTCATCGATTGGCCTGTCGGAGGTCAACTTCCCGCTGCACCCACAAGTAGTGACACGCTCGACCGCGGCAGCATCTGGGAGGAATCAGTGAAGTGAGAGATGGGGAATGGTCACGAACTCAGCCGCGATTAGACGCTCTGCGACGAATATCCAAACGTTCAGTTGGCCACCCTCACGAGACCCACGTTCGTCATCCTGGCCGTAGCAGACAATTCCTCAGTACCGTGTTGGAGTGGTCCGATGTGGCGTGGTAATCTGGAGAAAGGGAAATCATCGGACAGGAATTCGGTGGAGTGGAATGATAAAGAGCCCCGCGCATCCCCGCTACTCTCATAATAGGAAGCCGCATTGGCATGCAGGAAGCCCATGTCTTTCATCTGAACGAGCCACTTGAGGATTCCCAGAGCTTAGACGTAAGAGTATGAGATCAAGCAATTGTTGTCAGAGTGAGTCAATGGGGTACAACGTTTCTGTAGAGGGTGGTGATGTCCGACATGCAGCAGTGTCTCCTATTCGCAGTGTACATCCTCTGAAGGACTAAGTTAACTAGAGTGATAGGAGGTTAGATTTGTGGAGTGGTTGTGATCTTCGCTCGTGATCGTTAGAGCTTGCTGTTCTGTCGTTGGTGCAATGGCACAAACACAGTACTTGTTGCATCCCTCCGGAGTTTTCGCCACTGGCACCAGGCAAGTGGGAGGTTTATCAAGGGGTTTGGGTGCGGAGAAAACCTTGCTTAAGTTTTGCGATGACGCTTCGCTCGTTGTGGCTGCTGCTCCGCAGCCGCTGCGATCGTCCGCCCGCTACCGTGCTAGGATTCGGGGTGAAGCGAGTGGTATGTCTGAGTCCGCTACACTCACGATTCCTGATGTTGCCACCCAGAATGGACGTATTGGCAATGCCGCGGTTCACGTGGTTCGCGAGGGAGATGGATTTGACCAGCTCATGAGCATCGCGGCACGGCCAGTGGTGGAGCAGAAAACTGAGTCTGCTTGGGTGTCTCAGGTAGCCACAAAGCAGGAAAGTGAACATGGGCAAGCGCTTCCGGTGGAGGCTGCCAGAACTTCAAGACATTCGTCGAATTCATCCTTCAATGGCTTTAAGACAGCAGCTCAGACGTCGGTTGTGGAGCAGGAGCTGTCGCTGGATCAAAAGCAGGAGATTGTGAGCAAGGGCGGAATGCCCCGGTGGGATATGCTGCTGAGCACCGAAGCGCTCGAGGAAGCTCACTTGTTCCGCGCCTCCAGTGTGACGGACGCACACGTTCTGCGAAGGAAGGGACGTCTCAAAGAGCAAGATGGACTCATCGAGTTCATCATCTCGATGCACAGCACGCATTCGCCCTACCAGGTAATGGAGAAGGTGGAACGGTGGGTGCGGGAACATGTGGCGGACCCCAACCGCAGCACGTTGAACCGGCTCATTCCAAACTTGGGACCGCGGTTTCATACGCCTCTACCTTTGGTGCGAGCGCTCCGTGAGTACGACGAATTTGCATCCCTCTCTCGGCGTAAATACGTTCCTCCGAACTTCGCCGAGGTTCGACATGTTATCAACATGGCGCAAGTGCACGCCATAGCTGAGAAACTGTCGCTCATCACCTTCGATGCTGACGGGACTCTTTACGCTGACGGTCACCATATCGAGGGTGACAACAAGATGATCGGGCACATCATCAACCTGATGCGCGAGGGCGTTCAGGTTGCCATTGTTACTGCAGCAGGCTACCCTGGTGACGCTGCTAAATTTGAGAAACGGTTGGCGGGACTGTTGGACGCCTTCAAGGAGCTTCAACTCCCACCTTACGTGACGAAATTTTTTCGTGTGATGGGGGGTGAATGCAATTACCTTCTGCGCGTGAATGCGCAGTACAGGCTGGAATTTATCCACGACGAGCTCTGGCAATCGCCTGACATGCTCGCTTGGAAGGAAGAGGACATCAAAGATCTCCTGGACAACGCGGAAAAGGCTCTAAGAGCCGCGGCCTCGAGGCTGCGCGTCCCGATCAACATCGTGCGCAAGCCTCGAGCCGTGGGCGCGGTGCCGAAGGACCCCATCATTTACGAGGTGCTGGAGGAGATGACGCTCACCGTCCAAATGCAGCTCATGCAATCCGGCCTTCCGTTCTGCGCCTTCAACGGGGGCAACGACGTCTTCGTAGATGTCGGCAACAAATCTGTGGGCCTCAGGGCACTCATGAAGTACCTCGGTACCAAATGTTGCGAAACCCTGCACGTCGGGGACCGCTTCACCGCGAGCGGCAACGACTTGGCCACTCGCTCTCAGTGCTCCATCCTCTGGGTTGCCAATCCGGAAGAAACTGCCTTCTTCGCACGTCTCCTATTGCGTGACATTCGACAAGCCAAGCTTAACCAGTATATCGAATGAGCAAACCATCTCGAAAGCTACAATCATCGATTAGTCATCGTTACTAAAATCAACGTCCCTTTCCGCAAGCTTAGATGTCGACAAAACCCTGTACAATTGAGCACTATACGACGATCCACGGGACATCGACTCATGTACAAGAAACCGATCCGTAGAGTGAAAACGTTAGCTGTGAGATAAGAAAAAACAACAACAGGTCGCCACAATCAAGTTAACCTCGCCAACTGATACAGTGTTGTGGTTCTCTTTGCTTTTGCTTACAACCCGTGAAGTAGTGAAGCTGCAGTGGACAGTGTTTAGTTCAAGCTCTACAGCTGCAACTGAGAAATAACTGGCACCCAGTAATCCAACACAAAGGATTCAGATAAAGGGCTTGCATTCCACATATATATATATATATATATACATTGTACGAGGTCGGATCTGCCAAGGCACCCAGGCTGATCGAACATGAAAAATGTATATCATGAGGTTATCGATCACGAAAATTATACAAACAAAAATCAGATCTTTAGTGTTCACGCTCGTCTTGACGTGATTCCGAAGATATTGTCATCGTAGTCGTCGTTCGAGCTCTGTTGTGCATAGATTTGCGAAAATTTGTGCCGAAAAAGTTTGAAAATAGTTGGGTTAATGGTGTTGAGAGTGTTACATTCTTAATGTCTCTCAAGGATGTGACACAATGGCGCTTATCATATTCAACCAGGCGATGTGGTGTACTAGCTAAATACTGCTTTTTGTTTATTTGAGTTTGTATTCAATATTTTGATGTTGTAATAGAATTGTAAAGTATACTGTTGTTGTTGTGGTGTCATTTATCCTTTATGAAACATTAAATGTTTTATTTGTGTCTTGCATCAACTAACAATTGTTGAAACCAAATAGTTTTTCTTTTACATTTGTTTCAATGCATGTAATTGTTTTTGCTACAAATAAGACACTTGTGGATTGTTGTTGTTGTTGTTGTTGTTTAACTATGCTATTGTTCTATTATCCAAAATAAATATTATTTTTTGTAAATTTTTTGTACTAAAAAAATGTTGTTAGTCTACTTTATGTTCATGGAATGTCTACCAAAGTGCAATTTAGATGCAAAATAACTTTAAAATATTTTCTCATTGTTTTTAAAAATATCTAATAATATTATTTTGATTTTATTACATATTAGCACATGGTACTAATTTCAAATATAAGATTAATTTTCATAGCTATAATTTTTTATATTAATAAATATGTTATTAATTTTTATAGCACATTTTCTTTTACTTATTTATTAATAAGTTTTATTAATCTTATTTTATTAATAGACTTATAGTTTTTTATATTAAATTGCTAAAATAATTATTTAATGTATTAAATTTTTTTCACAATAATTGTTCATATGACAATCATAATTAATAAAAAAATAAAAGATTTAAATTTAAAAAATAATTTAAAAAATGTTAAATATATATTTAAAAAATAACTTATTAAAACGACACCTTCCAAACCATGGGATGATTCATTTAGTCCTATCTCATTCTACCCCCACATTCCATCATCATCTTCTATGAGACAGCTTGTTTTTTATACATGATCTTCTTTACTTGACATAGTATCCAAAAGTGTACAAGGCACCCTTGTCAATCAATCTACAAAAAAGACCATGAGTACCATTTTGAAGAATTAGTGATCAAATGACTTATTAAAGAATATTGTTATTAGAAGTTTTGCTAAGATAAAAAAAACAAGCTGATCTGCAATCATACTTTCTTGTATTATCTTAATGTTGTTATGATATAGTCTAAATATAATAGGGTATGGATAAGATATTTGTATTATTGACATATAGGAATATATAGTTAGAACCATAGAAGTTTCTAGAATTGGGGTTGGGTTAATGGACCAAGTAGGATCCACTATGGAACATTCTAAAAAGAGTTTAGGGTGGTTATCTAGGTAGAGTCTACCATAGAACCTTCTAGAAGGAATTTAAAGTAGTCATTTAAGTAGAATCCATCATCTAGGAACATTCTAGAAAGTCCAGGGTCGTAGAACAAAATATAAATAGGACTGGCCAGGGCCTTTTGGGGTATTTAGTCAAGTATGGCTTTGGATCCTTTCACTTAATACATTTGAATTTTGTATTTTCCTGTTTTATTTTGTTCTATTCCAATTAGAGTTGCTTAGTTTTGTCTTCTTTATACTATTTTGTTTAGTTTTGTTTAGTTTTGTTTTAGTCTAGTTTGTCCTACCTTATGATGAAATTTTATGTTATTGTAGATTAGAATGATCTTAGACACTTCAGATAGACCAATCATATTTCATTGGTATTAGAGCAAGTATTAGACTATTTTTTTGGTAGTGTTTTCATAGTCATCATCTAATCCAAGGTCAGTCATTGTAATCACACTAGATATTATGTTGAGGCTACCACGAGCTACTCTTAAAAAGTCAATTGAGAGGTGAGAAGGCATTATAATAGTAGAATCCAACGGAGAAATTACAACATGGAAGATATAGCAAAGCAATCCCAAATGGAGGCTCAAATATAGCACCTCTTAGGCCAGATAGCTACTTTGCAAGGGCAGATAAAAGCCTCAAAGATAAAAGAGTTGTCATTTGTTAGGCTAAAATTGAGTAAGCCTAGTACATACTGTAGGACTTCAAGTCAAGAAGATGTATGTCAATCACTCTTCAATATGCGACAATACTTTCAACAATTTGGAGCAAATACTATTGAAAGAATTAAGTATACAAGTAGTTATTTAAGAAATGTGGCAGCCATTTGGTAGCAACATTGAATTCACGATGGATTTTTTGATTAGAAGGAGTTTGAGATCAAGTTTAGGAATCAATTTCGGCCCATTAATATAGAAAAGATAGCATGGAATCAGTTGGTAAATCTTACATAATTTAGGTCAATGCAAGATTATGTCTCTTGATTCAAATTCTTATGTCTTCAAATTAACAATATTTCAAAGGCAAAGATGATGGATTGATTCTTACGAGGTTTGAAACCTGAGGTCTAGCAAGAGATAGAACTAAGGGATCGACAAACATTCAAAGAGACAATTCAGATTATAAAGAGGTTGGATATTATAGATTTTAAAAATCAAGGAGTATGATTTATAGCACAAAGTCCTATGCCACTATCTAATACCATAGTGCAACAACCAATACCAATGGAGATTGATGTCCTACAAGGATCATTGACACCACAACGATGAAAAATATTGGTATAAAAAGGATTGTGTTTTAATTGTTGAGAGCCAAGCCATCAAATTGGAGGTTCTCTTAAATGTCAAAATTCAAGTACCAACAAAACAAAGTGGGTTCATAGTCTCAAAACTCACCAAGTTGATAATAAGACAGAACATGAAAATGAAGCTCCCTAGTAAAGGCGTTGAGGGCCAATACTTGACATAACTACTATCTCTCAAAGACAAATGTCATGGCTTTAAATAACTATAAAAATTATTCATTGATATATCTATCGGGACTACTAAGAGGACAACCATGTCGAATGCTTGTAGATTGTGGTTCTACAAAAAATTGCATCTCAATTAAAATTACCGACTGACTTAGAATTAAAATTAAGATAATCAAAGAAAGAAGTATATACCTTACAAATAATCAAGAGAATTCATTGACTGAGACATATAAAGAAGAAACCTTAAGGTTGACTAACACCTATTGTCAAGGACATACACTAAAAATTTGTAGAAGATTCTAGAGAAGCTTTGTAGTTTGTAGAAGCTACTTGAGAAGCTTCCTAGCTCGTAGAAGCTACTTAAAAAGCTTCCTAGCTTGTGGAAGCTGCTTGAGAAGCTTCCTAATTTGTAGAAGCTACTTGACAAGCTTCCTAGCTTGTAGTATATATAGGAGCCGAGAGTGAGGGGATCCTCAATCTTGACAACACACCTCTTGGAGCTCTAGCTCACCTCTCTAGTGTTATTCTTGTACTCATCTGATTAATCTACTTCTTCACAATTCTTTTTGAGCTTTTTGTTTAGATTTCTTATCTATATTCTAAATTCATGATAGTTTGTCAAGACTACACTCATCTTTCATATCAGAGCTAGTTCCTTCTTGTTAGAGTGTGGATTATTCCACTGCTTGAAGGTGCTAGCATTTTAGAGGTTGCGGATTATCCTCTTCTAAACTGATATTTCTTCTATTATAATATTGGAGTCTTATCTTTCTTGGAGAGAGTGGATTATTCCTCTTCTTCAAGGTTTTAAGGCATTTTAGAGATTGCATAGTATCCTCTTCTAAACCAATATTGCCTTCTTGTAGAGTCATTTCTTTTCTTCTCTTAAAATGGTCGGAGGTTAAGATATTAATATGACTGAAAGTTCAGAGTCGAAGAATGCTCTTATGAATGCTATTGCTACATTATTACAAAGAACTGCAGAGATTGAAGGAATCATTGTAAGACTTTATAATGATGGAGCATCTGGGATGGCACAATCGAGGATTCACCAGCGTCAAGCTTCAGCACCAAGAGAAGCAGCTTTGCCTCTAGTTCAACAAGGATCGTTGGTCTTACAATGAAAGAAGCTCCAAATTAGCCTTTCACATAAGTTTAATGGTATGCGTTCCAAGTTTTAAGATTTTGTCAATCAAATTGGATTTATAACACCTTTACAATTCGAGCGCTATCCGATGGTAGAGGCACGTGTTGGACTAGTTGGAACTTTGTTCACGAGGCAAGGTCTATCATGGTTTGCTCCTTTGTTTGAGAAAAGATCATCAATTTTGAACAACTTTGAAAAAAAATTGGAGGCGTTTGCGGAAGTATTTGGCAAACATGATAAGGCACGATGGACTACAACAAAGATCCGGTCACTATGATAAGAGGCATGCTCCACGTCAATCTACGCATCAAATTTCAGATAATTAGCGTGCAACATCAACTAGAACAAGAAAGCATTGATGAGTCAATTTTATTGGGATTTGAAGGAGGACGTGAAGGATTTGTGATTATCTCTTCTCGATCTACAAATGCTCAACAAAGCCATTAGCTAAGCTGTGAAGTGCGATAACCATCTGTTCCAACATTGCTAAGATCAACGCTCAAAACAACATACGGCTCATTACCTTCCAACTATGTTAGCAAGTAGCCTAAATTCACATTCAGAGGTAGAAGACATACAAATTGTTGTAGTACGTGTCAAATCCCTAACTCTAGAAGAAAAAAAATAGTGTATGGAAGAAGGACTATGCTTATATTGCGGTGAAAAAGGCCACAGAGCTGGAAATTGCTCCAAGAAGCAAAATCGATGCATTGTCAAGACCAGAGGTGCGTTTGTTTAGAAAAACGAAGGACAATAGGAACCATGTCGCTAGACAATTCAATACCATAACAACAATCAAGTTCCTCTCTTTTTGCTCAGCCTGCCTATTGCTTTACCATTTCTCTATCTTTTGGCCCTCAAAAACTAAAAACCTTGGCGTTATTAGATTCAAGAGCATTTGCTTGTTTTTAAGACAAAGAATTTGCTAAGCATCATGAGATTCTTCTAGTACAAAAATCTAAATCCGTTCACATAGAAATAATCGATGGATGACCTTTATTGTCTAGTAATATAATCCATGAATCAAAACCTATAGAGGTGACGTTTAAAGACCATAGTAGTTATATTATTTTCAATATTATTAGAATCCCGTCAAACTCTATTATTCTTGGTCTTTCTTGGTTAGAAATGCATAACCAATCCATAGATTGGAGGTTATGAAGGATGACATTTTGTATAGAATATTCCAAGAGTAAGCCTGTTAGAAGATCCCAAATCAAAAAATTCTTATTTATTGGAGCA